TGTAATTATTTTTTTGGAGTAAATTAATTTGTAATGAATAAACTTTTTTCAAAATAATCGTTTTGGGAATTTATTGACAAGTATATTTCTAAAATTATTTAAGTACTATTCATAATTGTCATAATATTTTTCATACATTTAACTAGAATCTATATAATATGTAAATATATTTTGTCACTTAATCAGATCTTTTTGTTACTATTACATATTAATATTTAGTTTTACATAGGTATAAATTATGAATACCTATAATTACATTTTTTACTACATGTAATATAAATACAATTAATATTTTGGAACTTTTAAATAGGTAAGTGTCCTATAAAACATAAACTTGTTTTTCTAATCAGAACCCCCCCCCCCTCAATTTTAAATTATTTAGGAAATAGAATTATTTTAATGATATATTATTTATTATTTTATATTTATATTTTATCACTATTATATACCTAACTAATATTCAACAAATACATTAAAACGATTAGAACGATAACGATATGAATAATATTACCTATTATAAATTAAATGGTATAGCACTATAGCATACTACCTATTAAATTAATTAGAACAAGTCTCAATATTTTTAAAAAGCAACAATTTATATAGAAAWTAACAATACATTATCGAAAAAGACTCGTAATGGCAAAAAATTCCTCGTTTAGAGTTATAATTGACATCATAATAACTAAACCCTTTTTTTTTTGTATACAATTTCGTCAAATTTTGAACTTAAAATGTCTATAAGAATAAAATATATTTTTGATATTTTGATATTTCTGTTACACAGATTAAACTTATGTGGAACATTTTTATTAAATGATTATGCCTTAGCTATAAAAAAAATAAATCTATCTTGTTAAAATTATTGAGTAAATATCTTCGTTATTTCGTAAATTTGAAAAGTWCTGGGAATATTTTACCCTTGCAGTTCTCCTCAAGTACCAACTATAGTGCACTAGATTATACAATTTACTACAGAAACCAGTTTCAAACCACTTTTAAATTTAAGACTAAATCTTTTTTTACCAGTAATATTTTATTTGGACTTACTTTTTACGTAATCCACTGTTTGATTCGTATGCATATCTGTGTATGTGAGCCTCACTCTTTCTTTAATAGGATCCTCGTGGTCTATGTCATAGTCCCTGTATCGTCCAATAGGTTTGGATGCAAATACTGGTTCTGGTCTAAGCAATTCTGATACATCTAGCATTTCGATTTTATTTTTAACCTAAAATTACATTTTTATTCGTATGTAATACAACAAATTGTTAGTATAAAATTAAAAAGTACATAATATGAAGGTATATATAAACAAGCGTAATGAAAAAAAAAATAGGTACCATTATATAATGTTTGATGTTCGAATATAGACAGTTAGTCCTTTAGGTTTATTGATTATTAATAGATGCCTATAGCGTTATAGCTAATGAAAATGGCTGACTAGGTAMAAAGCTTCCAACTTATATACCTTCTTACCTCAAAATAATTATTAATTAAATGCCTTAATTTGTACTTTGGTACACTTAAACAGCTTAACTAATCAGTAATTACGTGTCATTAGCATAAACAATCGTCATAACCTACTATACCTATGTATATATAGCAACCTAAAGGTTGTAAAAAATAAATAAATAATAAGATTTTATTGAATAAATTACTGATATTTAGTAATTTATGTCGAAATTATAATATTGTATATTTAATTAACCTACATTAATAAGTAAATCATTATTCATTAATAAACTATATATTATATAGTTACAAAACACATCATATTTCTATATACAACCTACCGCGATGAGTGAACTATTTAAACAAGATACATTATTTCAAAAACTATTAATGTTACATATATTTAGGTCAGTAAAAATCAATATTTTTTATATTATTATTTTTTTTTATGACATTATTCTAAGTATAGAGTGATGCTAGGATACTACCTTCAAAATTTTGGTCGACTAGGATTATGTTCAAAATTTGATTTTTATTAATGAAAATACTCCCAATAATATTCTGCTTCAAAATATAAAACTAAAAATGTATGAACTCACACAAAATAGTTAAACATTTCAAAAATTATTATGACTAAAAATAATGAAGATATCATTATTTTTTTCCCATAAAATATAGATTTATAACCACAAAATTATGTAACAGAAATATTTTCAAATACGTTTGTTTTCTGAAATATAATGGTTATGATGAATGATGTCTTATTTTAAACGTATCACCCTGTATAGTGTATACTTATATGTTATAAATAATTGATTAAGTGTTCCGTTGTTTTCAATACATTTAAATTAAATAGTTTATACCTAATATTTACGCATTTTTTCTAATATATCATCTAACTGATTGAGGAATTTGTATTATTATAAATCTATACGATAAATAAACATCAACAATTTTTTATCTATTCATAAACGTACCTACATTAATTATTCTTGGAATCTTGATATAGGTATTTATCTATATCTTATTATAGTAGCTATAGTTATGTATAAATAATTGATATTGTCTATATTATTATATTATAGACATAAAGTTATCTGCTATAAATTGTATCAAAATACAACTTTAACATTGTAAGCCATTCGCTTTTTTACAACTTTAGATTTTAAGTGAGCGGTGAGTTTATTGATTTTATAGTTATATATTAATAATATAATATTATTTTATTAAATCATTTTTTTTTTTTGTATACCCGAAAAGTAGTTGTATAAAATGCTTTGATCTTCAGGTTTGAAGGACGTTTCTACATTCTACTAGCAGTACCTACTACCCATTTGAATCTATAATTGGTACTTATGAGAGAGAGACCAACATTTAAAATTCTCAATATTTGTCAAAATAATAATCGGTAAAAACAAAAACAATATATTATCCAGAAAAGCTGGAATTTTTGTACAAAGCAATTAATTACAATAGCAATATTGTTATGTTTTAAATGTGTTTCTAAAATATTTATTTATTGCTTGGGTAGTTTTTTGACAAAAWTGATAATTTTTTTTTGGTGTAGGTAACTAAAAAATTAAAATCTTTAAATATTTTAAATGTTCCCCAAATGTTTATTTTATCATTTTGTTTACACTGTATAACTTTCAACAACTTGAATCGGGAAGC